GAAATCATTTTTGGTGTGCTTCCTGACTTTTCCACTGAAAATAACCCTCATGACAGGGGAGAGGGAGAATAACCTTAGAGTGTCTTTGGCAGCCACTGTAGGGTAATGGAATTATATACAGAAACAGAGTGATGAAATTTGGAGACTTAAATTACTTGAAGGGAAGAGATGGAATGCAGAGAGAATAGAGAATGAGGATAGGCCAGGTATAAGACTTTTACTAGCTTAAAAGTCTCAACATGAAGATTAGGCATAGAGTCTTGACAAAGCTAATGTGCTTTGAATGGGAGATTTCAGACAGGGACATAACAAGAGTTAAAATGCCTTTTTTCTGTCTGTGAGTAATATGTGCTCATTTTAGAAAACTTAGAAAAATATAAAAATTGTAAACAAGAAATATCATTTTAAAGCCAGAAATCTATGTGGTTGTAGGAGTTTCTTGAAATGAATTGTGAAGTAGTTTGGCAAGAGTAATGGTACTGGAAGAAATATACCTTGTTTTTTATTTTTTTGTTCCTTTTTCTTCATTTTTGTTTGTTTTTTTGAGATGGAGTTTTGCTCTGCCAGGCTGGAGTGCAGTGGCGTGATCTTGGCTCCCTGCAACCTCCACCTCTTGGGTTCAAGTGATTCTCCTGCCTCAGCCTCCTGAGTAGCTGGGATTACAGGCATGCGCCACCATGCCTGGGTAATTTTTATATTTTTAGTAAAAATTAGGTTTCACCATGTTGGCCAGGCCGGTCTCGAACTCCTGACCTCAGGTGACCTGCCCTCCTTGGCCTCCCAAAGTGCTGGGATTACAGGCGTGAGCCACTGCGCCCAGTCTAAGAAAAATATTTTGAACAGGAAAATAATAAAGACTGACAGTAGCAGTCATATGTAATGTAATCTATACACGAAAGGGTCCTGTCAGAATAAGTCATTTGACAATGCAGTGCTGGTGTCACTAGTTTTCAGATGTTTCTTGTTCTCTTTTTCACAAGAATTGTATAATTTCATAAAGAAGTTAAACAGCTGTTAGGCTTCACAGGTTAAAATGCTTGAAAGCCTTGTCATCGAAGACTATTTTCTTATGTCACAATATCTGTTTGTTATAACACAGAAAAAAGTTACCAGGCAAAAGTGAATAGTTGTTCCAAACAGAAGCGATACAGCATTGTTCCAATGGTATTTCTAATAATAATACTATATTTTGACAGATTTTTAATCTATTAAACTGGGAACAATACAGTTTGATTTAGTGGATGTGTTTGGTGACACATGATGCCATCAAATCTTTAATTAATCAAATAACTACTGTGTCTGTCCCGGATAGTTGGCCAGGTGCTATTGGAAAGACAAACAGCTATTTGAAGTCATTGTCTTTTGCCATAGCTATTACTTGGGCAGACACAGTTTCTGTGGCATATTAATGAATATAGCTGAAGCTAGGTAATCAAATGATCTTGACTTCCATCATTCCAAAGTATTATTTATCATTATTGAGTCATAACTAATACTTTATTGCAGCTATGCTTTTATTTCTCCGTACATTTTTAGAACTCTTTTTTTTTGGAATTTGCTTTAGTAATTATGATGATTCTTTTAAATATTCTCCATTTTGATTCCAAAAGAGTCAGTTTACAAATTAAGTAATGGAGTTTGAAGTCCAAATTAAGTGTTACTGCAAAGTAATGAGAATAGTTTTTAATTTATAATTTTTATTCTTGTCTTTTGATTAGCTTTAAACGCATATTGTTAAAAATATGTGAATGGGCTTGATATTGATATGTGGATTGATTGTTTTGAAGGACTAATCCTCTTCTGCTATCTGTAAACTTTGTTAAAAATACACCTTTACTCATTATTTTAAAATAAAAATCAGGCCAGGTATGGTGGTTCACGCCTGTAATCCTAGCACTTTGGGAGGCTGAGGCGGTTGGATCACGAGGTCAAGAGATCAAGACCATCCTGGTCAACATGGTGAAACCCCGTCTCTATTAAAAATACAAAAAATTAGCTGGGCATGGTGGCACGTGCCTGTAATCCCAGCTACTCAAGGAGGCTGAGGCAGGAGAATTGCCTGAACCCAGGAGGCGGAGGTTGCGGTGAGCTGAGATTGTGCCATTGCACTCCAGCCTGGGTAACAAGAGCGAAACTCCTTCTCAAAAAAAAAAAAAAAAAAAAATTAGCTGGGTGTGATGGTGCCTGTCTGTAGTCCCAGCTGCTTGGGAGGCTGTAGCAGGAGAATGGCTTGAAGCTGGGAGGTGGAGGTTACAGTGGCCTGAGACTGCACCATTGCATTGTAGCCTTGGTGACAAAATGAGACTCTATCTCAAAAAAAAAAATAATAATAATAATCTGGGCGCGTTGGCTCACACCTGTGGTCCCAGCACTTTGGGAAGCCAAGGCAGGTGGATCACTTGATATCAGGAGTTTGAGTCCAGCCTGGTCAATGTGGTGAAACCCTGTCCCTACCAAAAATACAAAAATTAATGTGGTGGGAGACACCTGTAGTCCCAGCTGCTCAGGAAGCTGAGGCAAGAAAATCGCTTGAGCCTGGGAGGCAGAGGTTGCAGTGAGCAGAGATGGCGCCACTGCACTCCAGCCTGGGCGACAGAGCGAGACTCCATTTCAAAGATAAAATAAAATAAAAACCAATGTGTTCAAGTTAAAAAGTAATGAACTGAAAATTTATCATGCTATATATTTGCATGCAATTTATATATGCATAGTGGTCATCCATGAAGAAAAAATAAAGCCTGGACGTAAAGAAAAAATAAAGTCTGGACATTGGACAGAATAATAAGTCTCTCTGGGCCTGATTTCTTGTGTGCAAAATAAAGTGATGGCTCTATATTATTTCCAGGATTCCATTTGCATTTTTTCTTTACTGCATTTTTGGCACATTTATTTTTATGGACAAAGACCAAGATCATCTAGATTTTCTCCTATACTATCTTCTAGGAGTTTTATAGTTTTGTGTTTTATATTTAGATCTGTGATATATTTTGAGTTAATTTTTGTGAAAGTTATTAAGTCAGTGTCTAGATTCTTTTTTTGCTTGTTTCGCATGGGGATGTTCAGTTGTTCCAGCCCCTTTTGTTGAAAAGACTATCCTTTCTCCATTGAATTGTCTTTGCTCCTTTGTCAAGGATCATTTGACTATATCTGTGTGACCCTATTTCTGGACGTTCTCTTCTGTTCTGTTGACCTATTTGTCTACTCTTTCACTAATACCATACTGTCTTGATTACTGTAGCTTTATAGTAAGTCTCTAAATCAGGTCATTTAAGTTCATAAACTTTATTTTTCTTGAAGATTGTTGTGGCTTTCCTGAGTTTTTGCTCTTCCACATAAATTTGATAATCAGTTTGTCAATATCCAGAAAGTAACTTGCTGGAATTTTGATTGGATTGCATTTAATGTGTAGATCAAGTTGGGAAGAACTGACAACTTAACAGTTGTGAGTCTTCCTTAGCCATTTATTTAAAAAATTCCACATCTAATCCATGATTAGGCATTGCACCTGGCTGTCATGTCTCTTTAGTCTAACTAATCTGGTCAGCATTCTCTGTCTTTTATGACATTGACATCTTCAAAGACCACTTGTATTATACATTGTTCTTCAATCTCTTTTTATTTCTGATGGTTTCCTCTTAATGACATTCCCGTGTAATTTTGACAGGAAAACTATGAAAGTGATGTTTTGTTCTTACTGGTACATCTAATTAGGAGGCAAATAATGTCAGTTTGTACCATTCTGTCTTTTTTTCCTAACTACTTATTGAACAAATCTTTAACCAGCCTTCCTATTTTGAGCTCCGAGTCCACCTCCCATAAAGGTACTTGATGCTGCTGATTCATAATACTCTTCTGGTATTCTGCTATGTAAATGGGCTTGCTTCTGGGTTTCCCCATTTGCTGGCTTCGGTTTCAGTTTTTCTGGCTCTACCAGGTCACTTTTACTTTTCCATGTGCTATCTAGTTCATCTGTCTGATTTCCAGCTTCCTAAATCAGATTTCTCTTCTCTTTCCTGTTCCCTTTATCCTTATAGAATCATGCCCTTCTAAAAATAACGTCATTAGCAAAAGTAGATGACTACATAAAGTCAGGATAGTGCTTACGTACTTCTTGTGGTTAGGGTATACCCTGGGAAAGGACATGAGGGAACCTTATGGGTTCTATAAAATTCTTGTATAATTATCTGAGTGATAGTTACCTGGACAACCACATGTGTAAAAAAAAATATTGAGCTGTATACTTAAGAACAGAGCATTTTATGCATTCAAATATATGCGTGTCATATCTCAAAAATATCATTTATCACTGTCATTTTAGTGAAGTTTTGAGAGAGAGCAGAGGTAAATGCATGGATTCAATTTACTGCCTTTAAGAACTAGATAGTGTTTAAAAAATAACCATTGAACAGTTAACGTGATTCAAATTTGTCTAGGGCTATACTAGTACATTTCTACTTTTTTTTTCTTTTTGAGACAGAGTCTCATTTTGTCGCCAGGTGCCAGGCTGGAGTGCAGTGATGCAGTCTCGGCTCACTGCAACCTCTGCCTCCCGGGTTCAAGCAGTTCTCTTGCCTCAGCCTCCCGAGTAGCTGGGACTACAGGCACACGCCACCATGCCCAGCTAATTTTTGTATTTTTAGTAGAGACGGGGTTTCACCATGTTGGCCAGGATGGTCTCGATCTCTTGACCTGGTGATCTGCCCACCGTGGCCTCCCAAAGTGCTGGGATTACAGGCATGAGCCACCGCGCCCGGCCACATTTCTACTTCTTACCATAATCTTTGGTATAGTTGAAAACTAGAATTAGAAGCTGTCATTAATTTTATTTTCCAAAGAGAATCAATTTGGTGTACATTTTTCCAGAGTTTTTCAATGTAATTATTCATGCATACTTTCACACATATACCCAATGTATTGTAGATATTCACACAAAATTAAATAATAGGCATTTGAAGAAAATGGTGATTTACAAACAAAATATTTGTTTTTCTGGTTTACAGGTATAAGAAAAGTTCTACAGAGACACCGATTATCAGGAAATTGCCACATGGTTACATTTCAACTTGAATTTCAGATTCTGGAAATTCAGGTAAGTTAAGGAGCATGTTGTGATAACAGAGATACTTCTGCTATGAGATAAACAATTCCCACAGCCTTCAACAGTGATGGAGCTGAAGAGGAGTTCATGAGCCAGGGCCCCCTCATAGCACTTTTGTGCAAAGTGGTACATTTTCAAAATTTCAAGTATTAATAGCCCAGCAACTGCATATGGTAGGATTGTTACGAAAACCATAGGTGCTTTATTGAAGGACAGGTAGCAAGATGCTCCTGGGCTCCCAGTGCAATCCCATGAGGTTGTGGGAATAGTCCTGGGTAGTTAGGTGATATGCCAGCCATCTAATATCTATTAGTTATCTATTGTTGCTTAACCAATCTCCATAACATTTGGCATCTTAACCCAAAGCAGGCCAAACATGATGGCTTTCACCTGTAATCTCAGCATTTTGGGAGGCTAAAACAGGAGGATTGCTTGCGCCCAGGAGTTTGAGACCAGCCCGGGCAACATAGTGACACCCTGTCTCTCCAAAAAGCAAAAAATTAGCCAGGCATGGTGGTACACACCTGTGTTCCCAGCTACTCGAGGCTGAGGTGGAAGGATTGCTTGAGTCTAGGAGGTCAAGGCTACAGTGAGCTGTGATTACACCACTGTACTCGAGCCTGGGTAACAGAGTGAGATCCTGTCACACACACACAAAAAAACCACCAAAAATACAATCATCCCTCAGTATCTGTGAGCAATTGGTTCCAGGATTCCCTGCAATACCAAAATCCACGGATACTCAAGTTCCTTATATAAAATGATGTAGTATTTGCCTATAATGTACACACATCCTTCTTTATACTTTAAAAATCATCTTTAGATTACTTCTAATACCCAATACAATATAAATGCTATAAAATAGTTATTATAGTATATTGTTTAGGGAATAATGATGAGAAAAACGATTTGTATGTGTTCAGTACAGATGCAATCATCTACATCTATAGTTTTTTTTTTCCAAATATTTTTGGTCTGCAGTTGGTCAGTCAATGGATGTAGAACCACAGAAAGGGAGGAATGACTATATTTATTAATTATCTCACCGATTTTCGGTGGGTCAGGAATTTTCGATGCCCTCAGTTGAGTGTCCTTGCTGAGGGCCTCTCATGAGGTTGTGGTCATCTGGGACCACAGCCACCTGAATGCTCCTTGGGGCTGGATGATCTTGCATGTTGTACTGGATTGCTGAGACATCACAGAGGGGGGAAGATCCCTTTGGCTAAGACCTTCACATAATATCAAGAAACAGGAAAGCAAAAGCAGACAGAATTATAAGTAGCCCCACTGGCCAGGGTGCAGCAGAACAGGGCTCAGCCACCTTCAAAGGCTGACTCCAAGAAAAGCTGAAAGCTGGAGAAAACAAAAAAAACCAAAAAAGCTGAAAGAGGAGAAAGCAGTTTCAACTAGTTTGTTTTGCCAGTTGGGCCAACAGGGAAATGTGTGTAAAGAGGAGGAACAGAACAGGGAAGGACAGCCAGGTTACCTTGGCCGCGGCTCATCAGATAACTAAAGTGGTGTAGAGTAGTTGTTGTAACTGAGTCCTAAGGAACAAGCTGCCTGCTTATATTCAGGGTCATGTGCCAGGATTCCTTATCCTTGTCATCAGTGTCCTTAGCCACAAAAACAGTCCCAAGTTTCCCATTTTGTATGAGACAGGAGTTGGTCATGGAGTCAGGACCTTACCTTCTTCTGTGTCAGATGGCCACTCCCTAACTGGTCCCAAGGATTTCGTACAGTTATCTGGGTTTGGAAGTTTTGCTTCTCTTGCAGTCCAAATCTCCATTTGCCATTACTGGCTCTGGCAGGCTAGGATGGGCTGGTGGTTATATAGACCCCCTAATTCGATGGCAAAGCTCCCAGCTTGTACTCATCTTAGAGTATCTCTCTTACACTGCCAAAGTGACCCAGAAAAGGTACAGTGTAGCATTGCCAAGGCCAGTTGAGCAGGATACAAAACACGTTTCACCATATTCTTGTGTCAGGGGCATGGGTGGTAAGTGCTCTAGGGAACTGACATTGTTCCGAGATGGGCACCAGGCCTTGGGGATGTACAAGATCACCAAGGTGATACCACATGACCACAAAGATCATATGCTGAAGACTAAAGCAGAGTATGGACCCAAATGGACTGGTATCATTTAGGCTGGACAACCTGTGCCAGCACCCCAGGCTTAAACTTCAGGTGGCGCAGGGATTCCTGGATGTTGTCCCATTGCAGAAGGTTTTGTAGTCTGACCAACTATATTTTCTTTCTTTGTGGCTCATGTGAACTTGATCTGAGTGTGATAATCTACTGAATGCACTTCTGTATTTAATGGGCCAGGCCTGCAACCCATGGCAGGTTGGTAGAATCAAAATCCTGTGGTCCAGTTCCATCTCTGAAAACATGTGCACTCTAGTATATATGTCCAGGAAACTGCTCAGGGGAATCCTGGCAGCCTTGGGATCTTGCAGCCTTTTTCTGCTGTAGGAGTTCATCTCCTTCACAGGTGCCTTGTGGGTTATGTGGAGAGAAGCTCGGCTGTAGTCAAAATTAGTCTTTTCCTTGGGAGGCTTGTCCACAAATCCAAGTGAAAAGGGAAAGATTATCCTCTGACATTGAGGTGAATGAGCTGCTTAGTGGAGTTGTACCTTCCAGGATGTGTTGTACCCTAAGAGATTGGTGTGCTCCTTAGTGGGGCTATGGCCTGAGAAGACTACAGTATCCAACATAGACTGCAGTATCTTCACTTCACTTTATTTAAGTTGCATACTTTAGTCACCTTAAACCTCTGATGGAAAGTATCAATTCGTAATTTGATGCCTTCCTGAGTCAAATAAGGATGAGGTCATGGTGTAGAAGGCATTTTTGATAATGTAATATGCTCCTGAAGAATGACTGCTGCCTGACCAGAGTCATTCCCAGCATGAACTACCACATGGTTTGGCCTCCTGGGCCTGGGTAGCTGCCCCAGGGCAGCACAGACAGGATAGAAGCCAAGCAGTAGATGTCCTGCCACTTAGGTCCTGCTACCCTTGCTGCTGTCTGCCTCCCACCTGACAGTGTTGGCACTGACCCAGACCTCAACAGTATTTTAAGCAAATATTCTTATCCTCATGCCACCAAAGCATGATTGAAAATTTTGTGACTGTTTGGTAATGGCCTGAGATTATACCGTTAGCTTACATGCGGAATGAATTAGAATCATTTGAGCTGCGCCTGAAAGAAAATTTAAAAATAAAGGTACTAGAAGTCTATTTCTCTATTACTTAAGTAAACTTGTATGTTTTCAAGGGCCAATATGGTGGGTTTATGATAGATTCTACCATCAACCACACATGGCTTCAATTCATAGCTCAATGATCACATTAGCATTTCAGGTATCAGGAAGAGGTTGAGCAAACAAAGCCTCACCTATTCTTTTAAAGAACACTTTCTGGAAGTTGTACACTCATCATTTTCACTTACAGTCCATTGGCCAACAAATTGATGCAAAGGATGCTGGAAATTTAGTCTTCATTATACTTGGCCATGTGGCTAGTGAAAAACTGGAGCAAGAAAAAAGTATAAATACAGGGGACTACTAGGAGTTTCTGTCCTACATGCTTTAGGGGATGCAGGAGGAAAAAAAATCTAAAGAGAGGAACTGTTGATATGTTCTTTGAAAGGTATAGAACCAGGCCAGACCTGGTGGCTCATGTCTGTAATCCCAGCACTTTGGGAGGCTGAGGCAGATGGACCAGGAACTCAAGACCAGCCTGGCCAACATGGTGAAACCCCTTCTCTACTAAAAATACAAAAAATTAGCTGGGAGTGGTGGTGGGCATCTGTAATCCCAGCTGCTATGGACCCTGAGGCAGGAGAATCGCTTGAACCCCTGGAGACAGAGGTGGCAGTGAGCCCAGATTGCACCACTGTACTCCAGCCTGGGTGACAGAGTGAGACACTGTCTCACCCACACACAAAAAAGACATAGTAGTTGCTGAGTCTCTAAAGAGACATGAATTGTCATTGTTCATGTTTAAAAGTATGTAGATGTTTTGAGACTGCTTGGTTTTACTAACAATGTGCTACAGAAAGAATGTGTTCTCCCTGGCTGTGTTAAGAATTCTTTCTCTCTGAGACTTTTAGATTTTATGATTCTTCTTGAAGACCAGACTGGTAAATAAGGTGTTGGAAGAAATTACAGACACGCCTGGAATTAACATGGTTTTTGGAGTCAGTTGTATAGGAGGGCACCAAGAGTTCTTACTTGGCGAGGAAAAAACAAATAACAATCTTATTTTTCTTTATTGCTTACAATTCTGATGTAATAAGGTGATGGAAACTTTTTGAAATTTTTATTATTTAATGGCAAATTCTAGCATATTCTTTACCAACTTGTGTATGTATGCCTTTAGAAACATACCAAGTAGAATTGCTAGGTCAAAGGAAATGTCCTTTTAAATTCTGAAAGTGGCAAATTGCCTTCTAAAATAGTTTTACCATTTTACATACTGAGCACATTTTTACTGTTAAGGCTGATAGAAAAAAACAACACAGCAACCTTGTGTGTTCTAAAACATTTTTTAAAAATAAAATTTCCACTAGAGGGAGAGGTTTAGCTATCTGAAAATTAAAAAGTAATCTAAATAGTAAAATCCTCAATTTATAGAATATTGTTTTAATAAAGTTATATTAATAAAATATTTGAACTAAACATGACCTCACATCATGTTAATAGAATGTTAGAACAAAATGATAACTTATAGTTTGTCTAGGTCGACCCTATTATTTTATAAGTAAATGGATCCACAGAGTTTGAATGAGTACACGTTTGTGCAGTTATTATTGTCCAACATGGTTGGGACATAGAGCTCTGTTGTCCAGATTTACTTTCTGGTGTTCTCAGCACTATGTTTGTGAAGAGTTGTAAGACATCAGAATTAACATTTATCAGCCTTCCATAATCTAAGCAACATAATCAATTAGATGGATAGGAGTTTGTGGGGAAAGTGGCAGGTTGTTTCCATAACTTCTATCCCAATGAAATGAACAAAATTATTCAAAAATAAGCAATATTTTTAAATAGAAGAGAATACAATTCCATTTATCATAGGCTCCAAAGAGAGTCTCTCTGATATTAATGACATTTGATTCTAAACACTGAAATCCAATACAAGGTGGTTCATGAGAGGTTTATAAGTTTTACAAAGTTAGGCTGGGTATGGTGCTCACACCTGTAATCCCAGCACTGAGGGAAGTCAAGGCAGGAAGACAGCTTGAGAATTAGAATTAGAGGCCAGCCTGGGCAACATAGTGAGACCCTGTCTCTTTTTTTTTTTTTTAATTAAAAATTAGCCAGGCTTGATGGCTCACCCATATAGTCCTAGCCACTTGGGAGGCTGAGGCTGGAGGATTGCTTGAGTCCAGAAATTCAAGGTTACAATGAGCTGTGACTGAACCACTGCATTCTAGCCTGGGCAATAGAGCAAAACCCTGACAAAAAAAAAAAAAAAAAAGGTACCAACTTAATGGCACCTTTTCCTAAACACTTCTACCCATAATCCTTCAGTTGTAGAGGAGAATGAAAACCGTGGGCTTAAATTAAATGGACCATTGTAGAAAGGAATGTGCTGCTGAGACTCATGTAGGGGCTTGAGGTCAGATTGTTTATAAGGTCTCTTCTCTTATTTACCAACTGGGGAGAATTGACCTAGTTAGCGGTACCACAAGCAGGGGAGAGATGGAAAAACAATATTTTCAAGTCAGCTTTCAAGTTGTTCAAGATTCTATAAACCAACAAAAAATTTTTTTTTAAAGAGGCCAATAAATCATAGACTTTGCATTGAAGGGTTACTTGCCTATTCTAATGGGTTAAAAAGCTGAAATCTAACATGTGTCTACACATACTTGACCAGGAGACCAGATGTGCCCCTGAGATTTTTGTTTTCCTTTTCCTTTCTTTCCTTTTATTTTTCTGGTAACAGTTCTATTGAGATATAATTCACATATCATATAACTTACCAGTTTAAAGTGTATAGTTCTATAGTTGTTTTTCAAATATAATTTATTCAGAATCCAAGCTTTGTTTCATAAGTTTATTATTATTTATTATTATTATTGTTATTCTTTTTGAGGCTGAGTCTTGCTCTGTTGCCCAGGCTGGAGTGCAGTGGTGCGATCTTCGTTCACTGCAACCTCTGCCTCCTGGGTTCAAGTGATTCTCCTGCCTTGGCCTCCCAATTAGCTGTGCACCACCATGCCCAGCTAATTTGTGAATATTTAGTAGAGACAGGGTTTCACCATGTTGGCCAGGCTGGTCTCAAACTCCTTACCTCAAGTGGTCCACTTGCCTTGGCCTCCCAAAGTGCTGGAATTACAGGTGTGAGCCACTGCATCTGGCCTGTAGTTTTTAATATATTCAGAGTTGTGCAGTCATTGCCACAGTAAATTTTTTTACCTCAAAAAGAAACCCCATATTCTTTAACTGTCATCCTTCAACTCCCCCTCTCCTTTTACCCAATCCCAAAGAACCAGTTTTCTCTCTACAGATTTGCTTGTTTTGGACTTTTCATAAAAATAGAAGCATATAATATGTGGTCTGTGTTGTCTGGCTTCTTTCACTTAGCATAATGTTTTCAAGGCCCATCCATACTGTAGCATTTATCATTGTAGAGACGGGATCTCACCGTGTTGGCCAGGCTGGTCTTGAATTTCCGGGCTCAAGCAATCTTTCTGCCACAGCCTCTCAAAGTGTTGGGATTAGAGAGACATGAGCCACTATGTTCAGCCTTATGTGCAAGTTTTTAAGTGGACTTAAGTTTCCACTTAAGTGGAAATGTGTGACCAGAAGGGGAATTACCAGGTCAATTGGAACTATTTGATGATGACCAATGATGTTGAGCATCTTTTCGTGTGCTTATTGGCCATTCGTATGTCATCTTTGGAGAGATATCTATTTAGATCTTTTGCCCAGTTTTGAATTGGTTTAACTTTTAAAAAACTGAGTTGTAAGAGTGCTTCTGGAACTTACGTTTTGATTAGAAATGGTGGTAGATGCCCACAGAGAGCTTATTGAACTGCATCTGCTCCTAGTAATTCCTACCCTTCCCTCAAGCAGATGAAAAACTAAACAAAGATTACAAACCATCAGTATTTCTTTCTCCAAAAGTTCAGAATATTAAGGGATAGTCAGATAGTATACAGATAAATGGGAAAGAGAGTCAAGAAGTTTCCACTCACTGTAGTCTTAGGAAATAGCAAAAATTGCTGGATTTACTGCTGTTCATAACAAATAGGAGCCACAGAGTTCAGGAATTCAGAGCACAAAGATGGAACAGAGTTCTTTCATCACCATATTGGGCAATGTGATTTAAAATTAGGGCAAAAATACTGACATAAAAAGAAAGGAAGTTAAGAAAATACAGACAAATTCACTTTAAATGGTTAATCCAGGAAATAAAACAGCATGCTATATAAAAGCTGCTCTGACTCTCAAATCATAAAGAAAATTGAATAAGAGAAAAAAGCTGAGAGAAAAAGAAAAGAAGAATAAAATGATTATAGTACTGAAAATTACATTATCAGTGTAAGAGAATAGAGTATGGAGGATATGCCTGAGAAAAATCACCTGTGAAAGCAATTGAAACGAACATAATAAATCTAGAAGACAGACAATGGAGAGCCAATATATGATTTTTCCAAAAGCAAGAGTAGCAAAAAAAGTAAAGAGAAATTATAGCAAATACATAACAGAACAAATTTTACTAAAGTAAAAGGGAAAACCTGAATCTGCAGATCAAAACAGTTTAACGATCCCCATCATTGAGTATATAGCTGTTTTTGTTTTCTGTGATCAGTAGTACGGTTATGAATATATTTGTTGATAAGTCTTTGTCTTCGTTTCTCATTATAGTACTTAAGGACAGATTCTTAGAAGTTAAATTACTGGGACAGAAGATTAAGAATATTTTAAGTTATGCATTGTCAAAATGATATTTAAAAGTGTTATGCTAGGTTTCAGTATATTTACTAGGATTGACACATTTTTAGTCATTGCTCATTTTATAGGCAAAAATGGCATCTTATTATTTTAATTTACAATTATTACTAGCGAGATTGAACTTTTTATTTTTATTTTTTTGGAGATGAAGTCTTGCTCTTTCGCCCAGGCTGGAGTGCAGTGGTATGATCTCAGGTCACTGCAACCACTGCCTCCTGGGTTCAAGCAATTCTCCTACCTCAGCCTCCAGAGTAGCTGGGATTACAGGTGGCCCCCACCAAGCCCGGCTAATTTTTATTATTTTTTAGTAGAGATGGGGTTTCATCACATCTGCCAGGCTGATCTCAAACTCCTGACCTCAGGTGATCCACCAGCCTCGGCCTCCTAAAGTGCTGGGCTTGCAGGTGTAAGCCACTGTGCCCAGCTGAGATTGAACGTTTTTGTACATGTAAATTGTTTTTTACTTCTGAATTTTTAGTTAATATCCTTTGCCGTTTTTTTTTCCAGCTTTTTAGTGTCCCTTTGTCATGTTTATGGTAAATATTTAGCTCAGTTTATTGCTTCTCTTTTATTATAAGATCATTTTTTTACTTAGATATATTGTGTTTTTATTTAATCATATTTGCTAATTTTTTTCTATTTTTGTTTAGAAAGTCTTTCCTCAATAATAAATTAAAAGTTTATATTTTCTCTTTATATTTTATTGTTTCAGTGTTCCATTTACATAAGTAATTCATCTGGAATTCCTTTTGGTTTTTGGTATAGAGTAAGGATCTGACTTCATTCTTTTAACAAATAACCAATGTTTTTGGTATAATTTCTTGATTACTCTTTTATTTGGTGACAGTTCATTTTGCATATTTCAAAAGTATTTTTATCTTTTTGAAGTTTACCATGCTTTGATACGTAAACTTTTTATCTTTGTTTTAGAATAAGGAGAGATTATCTTCTGCTGTTACTGACCTCAACATAATAATGGAGCCCACAGAATGTTCAGAATTAAGTGAATTTGTGTCTAGGTAAGCTATTTTACAAGTTTACTCTTTTAGACAAAAAAGGTAAATTTACACTTTACTGTTTTAAGTTTACCTTTTCCTTTTCTTAGTAAATAAATAGGTCTTCTCTGAAAATATAACACCATTACTGTGGCTTTTACTTAAGCCCCTATTCTCTATTTCTATTATTCTTTCATTTAATTTATATTTATTGAACACTCACTATGTGCTGGGTATTAAAATTAAAATGTGAGCAAGAAAAGATCTAATCCTCAGTCCTCGTGGAATTGACAGTCTAGTTGAGAAGTCAGATATTAATCAAATAATGGCAGAAGTAAATCTTAAATTATGACTATGTTAAATGCTACAAAGGAGAGTTACATAATGCTGTTGAACTATATATCAGGAATTTTTGTTTTTTATTATTTTTATATTTTATTTTAAAATTAGAGTTGAGATCTCACTATGTTGCCCAGGCTGCTCAAGCAATCCTCCTGCCTTAGCCTCCTAAAGTGTGTATCAGGAATTTGACTAGCAGAGAGAACATGAAATCATTTCCTGAAGGTTGAGCTGACATCTGAAAAATGAGTAAGTGTGAACTAACAAAGAGGAAATAGCTTTACTGTGCATTGTGCTAGCAGGGAGCATGACGTCTTTGAGCAATTGACACAGGGCCAGAGTGACCGGTAGAGGCAAGAGCATAGGAGAATGGTGTAAGTTGAGGCTAGTAAATTAGGTAAGGTCCATACTACAGGGAATTTGGTATGAAGAGTTTTATCATAGTCCTAGGACCAAGTGAAACTATTAAAAAGTTTTGATCAGGGCCTGAGGAAAACAGAAGCATGGCATCCTAGAAAGAATTATTCTGGATGCTATGGAGAACTGGAATGAAGGGATACAATCATTGATACAGGTGAGTCAATGACTAGTCTTTTAAAACAGTTCAGGCAAGAGAAGTTTGTAGTTTGGACTGAAATGATGGTACTTAGCTAGATGAATTTTGGGGATACTTAGGAAGCAAAAATGAGTGGGCAATGGATTGCTTGAATAAAAGGAATTAGAGTTCATTCATAGGTGATAACTCTTCCATTATGGTGGGCCTATTTGCTGATAAGGGGAAGTTGGAAGAGGGCCATTGTCTGGTGAGATTATGACTTTATTTTGGACATATGAGACTTGAGTGCCTTTGAAAACTCTGAAATAAAAATGTGAAAGAGGCAGCACAGAAGAGGTGGGGGTGAGATATAGAACACTGAAATTATCTTCTATTCGGTAGGAATTAAAGCCTTGAGCAGGAATGAGGTTGCCTAGGAAGGACTATAGAGTGAAACTAGAAAAGGGCCTAAACCTAAGCCTTGAGGAATTCTTAAATATACTGGCTGAATAGAAGGCAAGGATCCTGCAAAGGAATTAGAAAAGGAACTGTTTGAGAGTTAGGCAGAACACCAAGAATGTGTTGTGTCATGGCAGAGATCACATACTTCCTTTTGTTCAGACCATGGTTTGGAAGTAGCATCTGCTATTTGGAAATTACAAAAGGAAGAATACTGAGATATTTTGTAATAATGAGCATATTATAGTCACTTAATATTTAATCTCAGCCATTTGGGTAATTTTTTTAGACTGGGTTCCATTTGTGGAGAGTCATATTTTAGAAAGAGTGTTGAACATAGGTCAGAAGACCTGGATTTTAGTCCAGATTCAATGACCTAGTGCAAGTTACTTCTCCTTTTGAAGCTTCTTTCTTCTTTATCTCTGCTGTTATGTAATTTAAATATTATGTGCCTAAATATGAATTTATTTTTAGTTTTTCATTATAGATCTGTAGTTTTCATACAGGATTGATATCTTTAATTTTTGGAAAATTTTAGTCATTATTTTATTGACTCTTGCTTCTACCTTGATCATCCCTTATCACAGTCTACCTTCACTTTAAGTAGTAAACATTTCACATGTACTGTAAGAACAACAGTATACTTTCCATTTTTTCCCCTCAACCATTGTGTTATTATTGTCATACAATTGTCATACACTTTTACATGTTCCTGATGCCTCAGGGCATTGTTACTATTTTTGCCTTAGACTCAATTATTTTTTAAAGCAATTAAAAATAAGACAAAACTTGCTTTGTTTTGTTTTTTGAGATGGAGTCTTACTTACTCTGTTGCCCAGGCTGGAGTGCAGTGGCATGATCTTGGCTCACTGCAACCTCTGCTTCCCAGGTTCAGGCAATTCTCCTGCCTCAGCCTCCTGAATAGCTAGGATTACAGGCACCCAGCTACCATGCCTAGCTAATTTTTTTTTTTCTTGGTAGAGACAGGGTTTCACCATGTGGGCCAGGCTGGTCTTGAACTCCTGACCTCAAATGATCCACCCACTACGACCTCCCAAAGTGCTGAGATTACAGGCATGAGCCACCGCACCTGGCCAACAAAACATGTTTTTGTATATTTATCTTCATTTTTTCAGTTACAACATTCTTCATTTCTTTATGTTGATTCAGATTTCTAACTTATATGCTCCTTCTTCCGTAAGAACTTCCTTTAGCTTTTTTTTTTTTTTTTTTTTTTTTTTTTTTTTTTTTTTAAAGAGATTCTTAACTGTCGCCCAGGCTGGAAGTCCAGTGGCATAATCTCAGCTCACTGCATTCTCCCGTCTTAGCCTCCAAGTAGCTGGGATTGCAGGCGCATGCCACCATGCCCAGCAAATTTTTGTATTTTTAATAGAAATGGGGTTTCACCATGTCGCCCAGGCTGGTCTCGATTTCCTGACCTCAGGTGATCCAGCTGCCTCGGCATCCCAAAGTGTTGGAATTACAGGCAGAGCCTCTGTGCCTGGCCATTTTAATAATAATTTCTGACTTGTTTTTTTGAGACAGAGTCTTGCTCTGTCACCCAGGCTAGAGTGCAGTGGTATGCTGTTGGCTTACTGCAGCCTCCGCCTCCTGGGTTCAAGTGATTTTCCTACCTCAGCCTCATGAGTAGGTGGGATTACAGCCGGTATGCTGCAGTGCCTGGCTAATTCTGTGTGTTTTTAGTAGAGATCGGGTTTTGCTTTGTTGGCCAGGCTGGTCTGGAACACCTGACCTCAAGGGATCTACACACCTTTGCTTCCCAAAATGCTTGTATTATAAAAGCA